CTATGTGTATGACTATGTTTACACCGTCCGCGCGGACCGTCAAAAGTTCATGCTCATACCGTTTTCCTTGGTATCGCTCGGACGTGTGCACTTTTTCCCGGCGGGGATTATTAAGGAGCATCCTGGATCTTCCTGCGAAAAAACCACGCACGAAACCGAAAAAAAACACAGGGAGTGGACGTCCGAGCGACGGGGAGCTTCTGCTCCTCTGCGAGCATAGGTATACTCTGTGTGTGCGTCGCCCCCAGAGGGGCGACGCGCTCAGGGATGCTGCAGTGCTTGCTCGGTGGCGGGCGCTCTCTGGCCATGCCGCGGGGGCAACGATGTATTCGAGAATGTGTGTGTGTGTGTGTGTGTGTGTGTGTGTGTGTGGTGTGTGTGTGGTGTGTGTGGTGTGTTGGTGTGGGTGTGTGTGTGTCTGTGTGTGTGTGTGTGTGCTACGGTTGTGGAGGACGACCAATGGAGAGGAAGCATGTTGCCAAATACTTCCCAGATGTCTAATAGGACAATGCCACGGTTGAGGGAAAAATTAAGCAACACCCCCCCTGCCCCCGCAATTCAAAGTTGGCACGTATACGCATCGCTGGTCCGACGCTCAAGCGCGGGAGGTCCGAGCCCAGCATGGCCCTCGGAGGGGGAGGGAGGGGTGAGTTCACACCATATGTTATGCGCGAGTGCTGCTGAATTGTTTCCGACACCTGTATGTGATCTGGTGGGACGCACGCCTCCAAGGAGGACGCGTAGTATTAATACGTCCTTCTGCGCCCTGTTCGCCGCCACGGCGTTTCCCCAGACCTCCGACGACGTGATGTTTTAAGTCGCGGCGCTTCTCCTCGGTATCGGTCCTGGTAGGAGCGTTGTCGGGCCCCAGGAACATCATCAATGGACCTGGGACGCAACATTGCCCCCTCCTCCACCCTCGACGCTGCGCAGCCCCTCCTCCTCCTCCTCCTCCTCCTCCTCCTCCTCCTCCTCCTCCTCATCATCATCATCCTCCTCCTCCTCTTCTTCCTTCTCCTCCTCCTCCTCCTCCTCCTCCTCCTCCTCCTCCTCCTCCTCCTCCTCCTCCCCGTTAATCTGCTCGAGGAGGCCGACGGCGGAGACGCGGAGGCCCAGCTCGCGTACGCGAAGCTGTCGCTGGAGGCCGGCGACCCCGCCGAGGCGGTGATATATTTCGACCGGGCGGCTCTGCAGGGGCTCCCGGAGGCCCGTGGCCGAGAGCAGGAAGAGGGGGGATGATGATGATGATGATGATGATGATGATGATGATGATGATGATGATGATGATGATGATGATGATGATGATGATGATGATGTGGTGATGGTGATGGTGATGATGGTGATGGTGATGGTGATGGGTGATGATGGAGATGATGAGGATGATGAGGATGATGATGGTGTGATGATGATGATGATGTGATGGTGTGATGATGATGATGATGATGATGATCGATGAGGTTTGATGGTGATGGTGGTGGTGATGTGATGGTGATGGTGATGATGATGATGATATGTGATTATGGGAATGAGATGATGATGATGATGATGATGATGGTGATTGGTGATGGTGATGGTGAGTGTATGGGATGATATGATGAATGATGAATGATGATGATGCTGTGATGATGGTGATGGTGATGATGATGGTGATGGTGTGATGGTGATGGTGATGATGTGATGATGATGATGATGATGAATGGTGATGGTGATGGTGATGTGATGGTGATGGTGATGGGTGATGGTGATGGTGATGATGATGATGATGAGTGAGTGGGTGGGTGATGTGATGGTGATGGTGATGGTGATGGTGATGGTGATGGTGATGGTGATGATGATGATGATGATGATGATGGTGATGATGATGATGATGATGATGATGATGATGATGATGATGATGATGGCGGTGATGATCGACTCTTCCAGATTCTTCTGGATTGTCCCAGATTCTTCCAGATTCTTCCGAATTCTCCCAGGCGCCATCAGGTTCTCGCAGGTTTCTGCGGATCGTCGGACAAGCGCCCAAGCGTCAAGCGCCGGCAATATCTTAATGACAGGAAGAGATCCCGGATGCCACCGCTCGTCCTGGGGAGCCCTCGTCGCCACTTATGGCTTCTCCCTCCGGAATCCTTGCCAGGACGCAGACCGGGGAGAGGGCTTTTGGTGGTCCCCAAACGTGGTGGTGAGAACACCCGGTGGTGAGTTTTGGGCGATTTGGGTCATGGTTTTCGAGCGTTGGCTGGCCCAGGAAACGCAAAACCTCGTGGCGACCGCGTGTCCCCAAACCCGGTGATGACCCAGAATTATTTTTGGGGGGAATCGGAGTCACCACCGGGTGTCTCACCACCTGGTTTAGAGACCACCAAGACTTGGGAGCAGCGGCACCGGTATTTTTGAAACAAAAAAACGCCCATCCAAGAACATCAGTATCAGGAGAGATCGGGTTGACCCAAAAGGGTGTCCAGCGACAAGGGGATGGCGCAATAGATTTGGTGCAATTTATTTGTGGGGTTGCAATACATTGAGGGCGTGCAATACATTCCGGGGCGCAAATGTATTGCTGGATTTTAGCGTGCAATAGTTTCTTTGCAATACAATGCAATACAATGCTCCGGCGCAATACATTTGCAATACCATTGCCCCAAATCCCACTGCACCACCCCTTTTCAGCTGGACCCCTTTTGGGGTCACCCCGAAGAGAGCGACGCCACCCCCCGCGCCTCCGATTTCTCAAAGTGGAGATCTGAGCGCAGGTCGCAGTTTTTCGAAACGACTTGCACACCCCCCGGGTCCACCGCCGCGAACTCTGTAATTGGGGTCCAGGGTTGGTCTCGCTTCAATGCCTTCTCGGCATGGGCGCTTCTTCCGAAAGCAACGGGATCGGTACCGGTTTGTCCCCCAGCGGCGGGTTGCCGTCCCCGTCTGGCGAGGCGGAGCGCGGCCGAGGGCTTTGCCGAGCTTGCGCCCATGGGCTGCCCTTTCGGCCCGGCCAGGGTCTGCTCGGCCGTTCATCCAGGTCCCCCCCCCCCGACCATAACGTCCGCACATCAGCAGGGAGCAGTTGATCTGGGCAGCAAGGCGGGAGGTCTGAGGAGGAGCCAGTCGACTCGCTTCCGAGCCGCACGCTCGCTTGTCTGTCTCCCTTGTGTGGTCCGGGCTGCTGCCATGGTTCCCGCTGACGGGGCCAGCCGCGCCAGCACACTCAGGACAGAAGTCTTCCGCCTCTGAGTGCCCCCCTCCTCCCCCCTTCCGCGGCCGCCCTGTCCGTCCTCCTCCTCCTCCTCCTGCACGCTGGCCACTTCGCTCTCTGGTGCCCCCGTGGAGCTCTATCACTGGTGCGGCCATCCTGCCTCGCCGCCGACGAAAATGACGGGCCTGTTGTCCACCACCACCACCACCACCATAAGTTGGAGGGGGGAGGGGGTCCTCCTCCCCCTCTCCTTCCTCCTCATCCTCCACCTCCTTCCCCCCTCCAACTTATCGTGGTGGTGGTGGTGGAAAGGGAGCCCATCAGCAAAACAAATTGTGTGGCCCGGGCCCCACCTGCGCCCCACGGCCGAGGCTCGACCGCCGTGGGCCTGCCCGAACCGACTCCCCCCCCTCCCGGGGCCCCCGCTCGGCGCGGAGCGGGGGGCGCCCCCGGCCCGAGGCCCAGTACAACGCGGGGCTGCTGCTCCTGCGCGGCGAGGGGTGCGCCGAGGACCCGCCGAGGGCCGCGTACTGGCTGGAGAAGGCGGCGGTAGGATCGGGGTCCCGCAAGCCCTGAGGTCCCGGCGTTGCAATTTGTTTCACAACGGGCGCTTTCTCGCTAGATTTCCGGCCCCGGGGCCCTCACAGATCGATCCAGCTCGGAACATGACGCAGGAAGATGAGGCCCAGGGCTCCAGGCGTGATTTTTGTTGCGATGTCGCACTTTTTTGCAACGTCGGATCTCAGGGAGGGGTGTGTGTGTGTGTGTGCCCGTGTGTGTGTGTGTTGTGTGTGTGTTGTGTGTGGTGTGTTGTGAGTTGCGTGTTGTGTGGTGTGTGTGGTGTGTGTGTGTGTGTGTGTGTGTTGTGTGTTGTGTGTGGTGTGTGGTGTTTGGTGTGTGGTGTGTGTGTGTGTTGTATGTTGTGTGTTGTGTGTTGTGTGCTGTGTGTTGTGTGTTGTGTGTTGAGTGTTGTGTGTTGTGTGTTATGTGTTCTGTGTTGTGTGTTGTGTGTTGTGTGTTGTGTGTGGTGTGTGTGTGTGTGTGTTGTGTGTTTTGTGTGTATGTGTGTTGTGTGTGTGTGTGTTGCGTGCTGTGTGTTGTGTGTTGTGTGTTGTGTGCTGTGTGTTGTGTGTTGTGTGTGTGTGAGTTCGATCGGTTTTTGCACCGAGCTAGGTGGGGCGTGCGGGGGGGCATCTGTTTGCGGCAGTTCGGTGCACCAGCGGATCGAACTCGTGCCCCCCATCAGAGTCAACCCGCCTTGGTGGACAGGAGGCGTTCCGGCGGCCCAGTGGTTCGCAGGCGCCCTGTACCTGGAAGGGAGGGCAGTGCAGCAGGACATGGACAAGGCCACGACCTTCCTGGGCCAGGCTGCCGAGAGCGGGGTCTCGGCTGCCCAGTACACGCTGGGGTGCATGCTGCTGGACACCCCTCCACAGGACACGGAGGAGAAGAAGTGGGCCGCCCACTGGCCGCGGGAGACAAAATGCGGTGCCCGCTCCATCTCTGAGGAGTGGGTGGGGGAGAGTGGGGACTTGCAGCTGGGGCTGGATGAGGGCAAGGGAGCGTTGAGCCTAGATGGTCACCCCCAGGCTGAACAAGGCCGCCGAGCAGGGAAACATGAAAGCCCAGCTGACCGTGGGGCGGATGTTTCTCTTCGGCGTTGGCGTCGAAGAGGATCCAGCCGCCGCCGCGGAGTGGACCTCCGCGGCGGCAAGCAGCGGCGAGCCGGAGGCCGAGTACATGATGGCATGCCTGCTCCTGACCGGCACGGGGGTGGAGGCCAACCCCGAATGGTCCAAGCACTGGCTCGAGAATGCGGCGAGGAAGGGCATCGTCGACGCGGGCAGGTCCCAGGGGTGGCCCAGCTTCCCCTCCCCCTGCGTCTCCTCCTCCCCTCCCAGGTTCGGGTATAGCCAGGGCACCCGGTGAGGGGAGCCGTTTAGAGATAGGGCCCCGAAGCAGAATAAATATGACGGAATGAAACAGCTTCTGCCTCAGCTTGTGTTTGTTCCCCACATGCTAGCTGGGGTTATGGGTTTCTTCCCACACGCGTCGCACCTCCGTCTCCAGCCTCACCCCTCCTCCTTCTCACTCGTACTTGGTGTGCTCCTGGCATCGTACACACCAGACGCACGCAACGCATACACGGCACCCACGTGCGACACACGTCCACATACAGACACACACACACACACACACGTACAGCCGCACACACACACACACACACACACACACACACACACACACACACACACACACACGCACACACACACACACACACACACACACACACACACACACACACACACACACACACACACCCACACGCACGCACGCACGCACGCACGCACGCACGCACGCACGCACGCACGCACGCACGCACGCACGCACGCACGCACGCACACGCACACACACACACACACACACACACACACACACACACACACACACACACACACACACACACAACACACACACACAACGCTAGCATGCACCTGGCGTGCTCATTTAATACGCACTAGACGCATGCAGCGCATACACGGCACTCGAATGAGACGCACATCAACTTACATATACAGCCGCATTTGCATCATAAACATGCACGAGACACACGTAAGCATACCTAGTCGCTCACATAATACGCGCACGACACAAGACATACGAGTAGGATTCGCATGACGTGGCAGGCGTAGAATTTTCTCGACGCCATAGTGAGTGCTCAGGGGGTGGTCCCTGACCGCGGCCGCCATCCGTGCCGGAAGTCCAGGGCATGGCAGGTGCGGCACTTCCTCGACACCATAGGGGGTGCGCAGGGGGTGGTCCCTGAGCGAGCGCGGCCGCTATCCGTGCGGGGCGCCCAGGGCATAATAGCAGGCGTGGCACTTTCTCGACACCATGGGGGGTGCGCTGGGGGTGGTACCTGCGCGCGGCCGCTATCCGTGCGGGGCGTCCAGGGCATGGCAGGCGTGCTTCTTCCTCGACACCATGGGGGGGTATGCAGGGGGTGGTCCCTGCGCGCGGCCGCTATCCGTGCGGGGCGTCCAGGGCATGGCAGGCGTGGTTCTTCCTCGACACCGTAGGGTGTGCGCAGGGGGTGGTCCCTGAGCGCGGCCGTTTTCCGTGCCAGTCGTCCAGGGCGTAGCAGGTGTGGCACCGTCTCGACACCATCGTGGGTGCGCAGGGGGTGGTCTCTGAGCGCGGCTGCTACCCGCGCCTGTCGTCCAGGGCGTAGCAGGCGTAGCACTTCCTCGACACCATAGGGGGGGTGGGGTGTGCAGGGGATGGTCCCTGAGCGCGGTATCTATCCACGCCAAGGTCGCAGGGCGCCGAAGCAGTGGCATTTCCTCGACACCAGAGGGAGTGCGCAGTGGGTGGTCCCTGAACCAGTCTCGATCCCCGCCAAGGTCGTGGCAGGTGTGGCGTTTCTTCGACACCTTGACAGGCGTCATCGACAGCATTACCAGGGCAGCGGCTACCAGCATCATTCACACATGTTTCACCAGAAATGTTGTAAGTATGTGGGGTTCCTCGGTCGCGTAATTCGGGTGGCAGCAGTTCTGGTTAGTAGGATGGGGAGGTCGGGCGACGAAATCGGTTGAATCGTGTCGCTCATTCCGCCGGCCCATATTGTCTCGCCGCTGTCGTTTGTCTGGGTGTTGTTGTCAATGCTGTGCCGCTGGGTGGCTGGCATTTTCTGGAGGCATTTTCTGGGGACGAGGCGGCACGGTATTTTTGGATCCTTCTCGGGCCTTACGGGGTGGGGCCTCTTGGGAACTTCTTAGGGCCTCTTGAGGGCCTTTTGGGGGCCTCTTGGGGGCCTCCTGGGGCCTCCTGGGGCCTCTCGGGGCCGAGGGCTCGAAATATCCGTTCGGGTCCCTCGTCCGGACCCTCTCTCGGAGTCGTTTTGGGGCCTCTTGGGTCGTCTTGGAGGTCTCTGGGGTCGTGTTGGGGCCATCTGGAGCTGTTTGAGAGCTCTCTTGGGGGCCTTTTGGGCCGTGTGGGGGCGATCTTGGGGGGCCTCTTGGGCCATCTGGACGTTGCGAAGGTCCAAGTGGCGAGTATACCGAACAGATCAGTGCTCATAAGGGAATGGGACGATTTTTGCTTCTTGGGGCCGTCTTGGGACGCCTCCAGTGGACCTCCTGGGGCGTCTTGAAGGCCTTTTGGGCCGTCTCGAGGCCATCTTGGGCGTCTTGGAGTGGTCTTTCGGCGTCTGGGGGCTCTCCTGGACCGTGTGTAAGGCCTCCGAGGCCCCTCTCGGACCGATTTGGAGCCCTCTTGGGCTCCGAAAAAGGCTTCAGGCATCCGTGACGGGGACAGGCCGGGGTCCGTGCGGGACCCCCAGGGGCCGCCCCGCGCGCGCGCGCGAATCAGAAAGGTTGCGAACCAGTTACCCGAAATCTTAGCACGCCCCTGGCCCGTTGGGCCGGCAGGATGGGGAGGTCGGGCGACGAAACTTATACGTTGTAATATACTGCCCCCTGGCCCTTCCTTGGCCCAGGAGCTGTTCGTAGACGCCCTCCTGGGGCAAGCCAGGAGGGCGAGGCGTTTGCACCGCTGCTGGGCTCCGGCTGGGCCTGGCCAGGGAGCAGTGGACCTGTCCAGATCTCGCCGCCCGAAAACAAAGACGCCGTCCCCACAGCGCGCACCACGAAGCCGGGTCCCAGGCCCAGTCCTGCCAGTGCCCGAGCCCGACAGGTGCATGGAGTGGCTGCAGTGCGGGGAGGTCGCCCGCGCGGAGGCGCTCGCGGCCTACCACCTGGGCATGCTGGGCATCGAGGAGCAGGGCGCCCCGAGCCGCGAGCGGGCGCAGCGGCTGCTCATCTCCTCCGCGGAGAAGGGCGAGGCGGACGCCCAGTACATGCTGGGGAAGATGTGCCCCAAGAGGAAAAACTGCCTCACCCTTCTCCTCCTCCTCCTCCTCCTCCTCCTCCTCCTCCTCCTCCTCCTCCTCCTCCTGGTGATCATCATCATCAGCAGCAGCATCATCGTCATCATCATCTTCATCATCATCAGCAGCATCAGCATCAGCATCAGCATCAGCATCACATTCATCACCATCAGCATCATCATCATCATCATCATCATCATCATCATCATCATCATCATCATCATCATCATCATCATCATCATCATCATTATGTTCCTCCTCCTCCTGTTTATCCTCCTCCTCCTCCTCGTCTTTCTCCTCCTCCTCCTCCTCCTCCTCCTCCTCCTACGCCTCCTCCTCCTCGTCTTTCTCCTCCTTCTTCTTCTTCTTCTTCTTCTCCTCCTCCTCCTGCTAATGCAAACTTTCGGAGTTCTTGGATGGGCAGGGGCTGGTCGCCTTGCGGCACCTCTGGCGCCGCCTCTGGCGCGCTCCGCGCACCAGGGAGGGGGGCCCAGCGTCGATCCAAGAAACCGGCGCGGACCTCCAACAGTTTGTGCTAATGCTGTGGAGGACGATCGATGGAATGGAAGCATGTTGCCAAAGAAGTTCCAGATGCCTAGAACATGTGATAAAACTGTTTTAAGCATGTAGAGGACATGACTTCAACATGTTCTGGACATGCTCCTACATGTTAAACACAGGTTTGATTCGATGATCGGACTGTTAGGGTGTCCACTGTCGTGGCATCCACCATGTTGATGCAGCTGTTTCTTCCTCTATGTACCTGGACTCCCCCGACACGGAGGAGTTCTCGGGCGAGAAGCGGGAGGCCGCTCGGCTGCTGACCCAGGCCGCCACGCAGGGCCACGGCCGCGCACAGGTCCTGGCGGGCAAGGTGCACATGTTCGGCATCGGCGTCGAGAAGGACGAGCCCAAGGCCGTCGAGTTTATCACCCTCGCGGCCGAGAGCGGCACGAAGGAGGGCCAGTATTTGATGGGCTCGATGCTGCTCGAGGGCAGGGTGGTCCAGGATCGGCGACCAGAAGCGCCCCCAGCAGGCCTGGCAGGCAAGGGATTATGCTGATGTCATCATAGGACGGGGCGCTGTGCGCGAACTTGCCGTGTCCCATTATTGCGCGCAGAGGCCGTCTTCGGGCGACCCCGATTTGAGTGCTGGGGCTTAGTGGGAAAGGCTGGTAAGGGAGTTTAGTAAAAGTTCTCGGTGGGGAGGTTAGCGAGAAACTTTGGTAGGAAATCCGCAAGAAGAGAGCATGGGGAGAAACGAGGGAGCGGGCCCAGGCGGAGCAGCGGAGCAGTGGAGCACTTTCGCCCCGCGCGCGCGCGCGCCCTGGCAGGGCCCCGGGGCCGACGCGCTGGGACCCTGGGCCGACGCGCTGGGACCACGCCCTGGCTCCACAGGGCCAAACCCAGGCGGAGCAGCGGAGCAGTGGAGCACTTTCGCCCCGCGCGCGCGCCCAGGCAGGGCCCCGGGGCCGACGCGCTGGGACCATGGGCCGACACGCTGGGGTCACGCCCTGGCTCCACAGGGCCAAACCCAGGCGGAGCAGCGGAGCAGCGGAGCACTTTCGCCCCGCGCGCGCGCCCAGGCAGGGCCCCGGGGCCGACGCGCTGGGACCCTGGGCCGACGCGCTGGGACCACGCCCGGCCCGCGCGCGCGTCCCAGACCATGGGCCGACGCGCCTGGGCCATGGCAAGGCCCGGGGGCCCCAGCAGGGCCCCGGGGCCGACACGCTGGTGCCACGGGCCGACGCGCTGGGACCATGCCCCGGCTCGAGCGCTGTCTGTGGTCGCTTGCAGGGCCACCCCAGGCTCGGAACCCAGGGGGGGAGCGACGGCGACGGCGTCGTGCTCACCGTCGTCGGCGTCGTCGTCGTTGCCAGCGTCGGCGTCGGCGTCGTGCTCGGCGTCGTTGTCGGCGTCGTCGTCGCCCTCGTCGTCGTCGTCATCGTCGTCGTCGGCGTCGTCGTCGTCGTCGGCGTAGGTGTGGGCATCGGCGCTGGCGTCGGCGTCGGTGTCGGTGTCACCGCTGGGCGTCGTCGTCGCGCTCGTCGTTGTCGTCGTCGTCGTCGTCGTCGTCGGCATCGGCGTCGGCGCCGGCGCCTGCGTCGGCTTCGTCGTCGGCGTCGTGCTCAACGTCGTGCTCAGCGTCGTGCTCGGCGTCGTCGTCATCGTCAGCGTCGTCGTCGGCGTCGGCGCCGTTGTCGTCGTCGGCGTCGTCGGCGTCGTGCTTGGCGTCGTGCTTGGCGTCGTGCTCGGCGTCGTGCTCGGCGTCGTCGTCGGCACCGGCATCGGCGCTGGCGTCGTCGTCGTCGTCGTCGTCGGCGGCGTCGTCGTCGGCGTCGGCGTCGGCGTCGGCGTCGGCGTCGTCGTCGTGCTCGGCGCTGGCGTCTTGTTCGGCGTCGTGCTCTTCGTCGGCGTCGGCATCGGCGCCAGCGTCAGCATCGTTGTCGGCGTCGGCGTCGTCGGCGTCGTGTTCGGCTTCGTCGTCGGCGTCGTGCTCTTCGTCGTGCTCGTCGTCGTCGTCGCCGTCGCCGGCGTCGGCGTCGGTGTCGTCCTCTGTGTCGTTGTCGACGTCGGCGTCGTCGTCGTGCTCGGCGTCGTGCTCGGCGTCGTGCTCTTCGTCGGCGTCGGCGTCGGCGTCGTCGTCGTGCTCGTCGTCGTCGTCGTCGGCATCGGCACCTGCATTGTGCTCGTCGTCGTCGTCGTCGTCACCCGCGTCGGCGTCGACGTCGGCATTGTCGTCGTCGTCGTCGGCGCGTTCTCGTCGTCGTTGTTGTCTTCGCTGTCGGCGCCGTCGTCGTCGTCGTCGTCGTCGTCGTCGTCGTCGTCGTCGTCGCCTTTCCCCCCCCCAGGGTTCGAACAGCGGGATGGGGGGGGACAGGCATGGGTGGAGCATATCATCCCTGTCCTCTTCGCCTCACGTGCCGTGCTTCGCGCTCCTCCCTAAGGGGACCGAAGAATGAGATAAACATAAAAAACTCGGAGGTCCGCGCGCATTTCTCGGATCCGCGCTGGACCCCCCTCCTTGGCGCGCGGAGCGCGCCAGGGGCGTCGCCGGAGGCGCCGCCAGGGGGCCCCAGCGCGGATCCGAGAAATCCGCGCGGACCTCCGAGTTTTCATGTTTCCTGTAACTCTTCGCTCCTCCATCCCTGTCCTCTCCCTGCCGCACCTCCAACGCCTCGACACACCGAGACCGAGGCGTGTCACCACTCTCAGCCTGCAGGGGCCGCCTTCGGACCCCAGGGCCAATTGTGGAGAGGCGCTGCGGGGCGCAGAGCGGGCCCTGGGAGGGCGGCGAGAGGGCCAGGCCTCCGAGGACCACGAGCGGGGCGTCAGAGGTCTGAGCTCTCCTCCTCCTCCTCCTCCTCCTCCTCCCTCCCTCTCCTCCTCCTTCCTCCTCCTCATCCTCCTCCCTCCGCCCTCCTTCCGCCTCCCCTCCGTCCTCCTCCTCCTCCTCTCCGCCTCCTCCTCCGCCCGCCTCCTCCCTCCGAGCCTCCCTCACCTCCTCCTCTCCCTCCTCCTCCTCCCCACCTCCTACTACTAATACTACAAACTACTACAAACTACTACTACTTATAATTGTGGTATAACACTACTTACTAACTACTACAACTAACTACTACTACAAACTACTACTACTACGACTACTACTACTGGACTACTACTACGACTACTAAACTAACTACACCTACTAGTACAACTCACTACTACTATACTATACGAACTACTATTATACGACTACAAACTACGACTACGACATCGACTTACGACACGACTACGACTACACTAACGACTAAACTACTGACCTACTACTACTACTACTACACTACTATACTACTACGACTACTACTACTACTACTACTACTATCACTCCTACTACTACGACTACGACTACTACTATAACACTACTACTACTACTACTACGACGACTACTACTTTAAACTACTACTACTAACTACTAACTACTACTCAACTCCGCTTGTTCCATCCCTCCTCCCTCCTCCTCCCGTTCCCCTCCTCTCCTCCTCCTCCTCACCCGCTCCCTCCTCCTCCTCCGCCCTTCTCCTCCCGTCCTCCGCCCTCCTCCTCCTCCTCCTCCTCCTCCTCCGTCCTCCTCCTGCTCCTGCTCCTTCCTCCCCTCCTCCTCCTCCTCCTCCTCCTCCGCCCTCCATCCTCCTCCGCCCTCCTCCTCACCTCCTCCTTCTCCTCCTCCAACCTCCTCTTCCCTCCTCCTCCCCTCCTCATCCTCCTCCTCCTCCTCCTAATCCTCCTCCTCCTCCTCCTCCTCCTCCTCCTCCTCCTCCTCCTCCTCTGTTTCGGCCTCGAGGTGTGGGTCTGAGGTCTGAGCTCCACTCGGCTCGTGTAGCGATCCGAGTTTGCTTCAGGTTGCTGTGCCAGCCACGCCGTAATGAGTTTCAGTGGTCCCGCGCTCCCCCAGCTCCCTTCCTCCCGAACAAAAAGAAAAATGAGGGGGGCGTCAGAGGTCTGAGCTCCTCTCTGTTTCGGCCTCGAGGGCCGATTGCCGCGGAGGAGGAAAAGCGTGCGCGCGCCAGGGCTGGGCCCCGACGCGCGTGGAGCCAGGGCGTGGTCCCCGGCGCGTCGGCGCCTGGCCCCCACCGCGTCGGCCCCGGGGCCTTGCTCGTGGCATCGCTCGGACGTGTGCATTTTTCCTTCGGCGAGGACCATCGAGGAACATCCTTGATCATTTCGCGAAAAAACCACGCACGAAACCGAAAAAACCCAGGGAATGGACGTCCGAGCGATGGCCAGTGCTGGGCCCCCCGGGCAGGACGCGCACGCACCAAACCCAGACGCACAGCACACCGGCCGCGCAAGGGCCAGACACCCGACGCGCAGGGGCCAGACACCCGACGCGCATTGGCCATGCCCGGACGCGCAAAGCCCTTGAGAAATTTTGCCATCGTATGGTCTAGTAGAGCTTCGCATTGTCCTTGCGTGTCGCCGCCGTTCTTTTTCATGCGCTTCGTCGGTGGTCGAAGTCTTCAGCAACCCATCTCATTTTGCGATGCACTGCTTCAGTGGCTCGAGTTACTGGCCACTGACGTTTGTTCACTACGCAGCGTTTCCTCGAGTTCTATACCGAAGTGGCGGAGGGCAAGCTTCGCCCCCCCTTGAGCTTGAAGGAACGGTTCGAGGGAAACGAATACTTTAATAGTTTGTTTTGCCAGCCGCCTTGGCTCAAAGCCATATCTGCCTGTGTCGCATGCGGCACGGCGGAACCACGAATATTGGCAACAGACGGGTGGAGTGTCTTTGCGCGCGCGTGCGAGCATTTGAGTGTTGCATGTGCCTGGCGTGTATTTGTGTGCTTGCGTGTTTGCGCGGTGTGGCATGCGTGCTGGGTTGGTGCATGCAGGGTCTCGGGTCTCGTATCTGAGTTGCTCCATGCAGCGTTTCGGACCCTCGGAAACAAGTGCCACGTCCAGCCTTAGCTATGGCATCGGGGGGCGCGCCCGTAGTTCTCACCGGCCTACGCCCTGCTCCTGGGGCCGCGGGGCCGGGTGTGGCCGCCAACCGCACCCGCACGTCCATAGACCGCCGAGTCGGACGGGAGCGGTATGCGTCTCGGGGTAAGAGACTGGGCGGTACGGCACCGAAATAGGCTCGAAGTGCTGAAACCTCCCAGTTGAGCTCTCTGGGTGCCCGGGGGGGCGTTCGGTCGAGTGCGCGCGCAGAATTGCGATGGCGCCTGGGGGCGGCCACACCGCAGATGGGGGATCGTTCTGGCTCCCCCCGGCCCGGACTTCTCCCGTCGCCTCACGGTGACCTAAGCTTGGTGCGGTGGGGGCGCGCTTTGTGGAACACGTCCCAGGTGCGACCCTTCATGTGCTCCTCACCGCTATACGTTGGCCCGGACTACTATGAGTGGGGCGGGCGGGCACGGCTCGCTGCCATGTACGTGCGGGGGCGGTTGGATTCCTAGAATCTCCCCCCGCACAACGGGCAGCGTGAGGCTGAATCCCGCCTGATCACCCGGGACCGGCAGGCGAGGTGAGGCGCCTCGGTCTGGGCCTCTTGATCCTAAGGTGCCTCTTCAGGGCGCCGCGCAGTTGTGGTCCCCCGACTTCCGCGGAGTAGAGCGCCGACTGACAGAGCGGGTGGAATGGGCAGGGGGGGGGCGGGCGGGGAGGCGCCGCCAAAACGCGCGCAGAGGGCTAATATAGCCCAGTATAAACGCAGGAGACAAGAAAAACAGCTCCGGTGGGGAAAGTGCTCGGGTGGTCTGTCCGCTGGGGCGTCGTCGCTTTCTGGTCACTCCATTGCGCCGGGTGGTGGTCTTGCACCGACCCCCAGGGAGTGGGGGTGTTGCACCCTGACGACGTGGAGCCCACTCCCCCTGCGCCGGGAGATGGTCTTGCACCATCTCTCAGGGAGTGGGCCCTTTTTCCTGGCGGGCGGGGGGCGATAGCGTGGCAGCGCGCTCGGGGCCTGATCTCAACTTTTGTCCCACGTCCTCGCATTCACGTAGTAGTTCGGGGCTGGGCTGAGGCATGGCCTCTCCTCCTCGCTCTCTCCTCTGCTCGGGGGGTGGGAGGTGGGCTAGGGGGAGGGGGTGGTCCAAGGGCTTTCTGCGTCGGGAGCTGCAGATGACGGAGTGCTCCTGTGGGGAGTGCGCGGGGTTCGCCTGTCATGTGTGTGCGTGTGTGCGCATGATCGTGCTTGTGTTTTTGTTCTGAGGGTGCCAATGTTCGATGTCCTATTCGGGCCTCTATCATCGGCATGTTCTTCCAGGACGGGCGTCACAAGGGTCGATGTCCCGATGATGCGCCATCATGGAACAAGGTTTATGCCCGAGTTCCCCAGTACGGGGTTCTTGTACTAAATGGGACATCCCCGCTTAATTCCTCCTGGTCTTCTCTCCTTCCCTCCCCTGTACTGCTCTGGGGTTCGGGTCGGGGGCCAGGGTCTGGGTGCTGCTGGAGAGGCGAAGGGAGGCTCCCCAGCCGACATCCCCCTTCCACCACCACCACCACCACCACCACCACCACCACCACCACCTGTGTCGCATGCGCAATTAGCGGCGGCGGGCAGGAAAGACGCATCTTCCCTTTCCAATGGCCACCATCTACTTCTCGCACCCACAAGGTTGCACAATGAGATGGTGAACCCAGTTTCGACTGGACGTCCTACACCGTTTCTCCTGGGCAAAACTTTGCCCAGGGTTGGGTTTTTTTTGTTGTTGAAATATTGTCCACAGGAGGACAAGCCCCTCGCCGCCCAGTGGTTCGAGAAGGCTGCCCTGCAGGGCCACCAGAACGCGCAGTACAACCTCAGCCAAATGCTCGCCACCGGCGACGGCATCGAGATGGACCGCAGCCATGCCTACGAGGAGGAGGAGGAGGAGGAGGAGGAGGAGGAGGAGGAGGGCTCGAAACTTCCGATATTATTTGGGCTGCACGATTCAGCCCGGCATAAAATATTTGCAGTTGCCCTCTGCGTCGCCTTCCCGCCTGGCACGGCCGCTTCGAGCTTTCTTTCAGGCAGGGTCGGGGTTTGATTTCGGCCAGGAGATATGTACAGCGCGGAGGGGGATTGGAGAGCTCCTCATGCAGATCCGACGCCGCACATGTTGCAGTCGCTGCGTTGCGGGAGGGGGCTGGGAGGAGAGGTGGCGGCGGCGTTGAGGGAAGGCATGGGCGGCGCCACATTTCAAATACGTGTTTGAATTGTTTCTCCGACTGGACCACGCGCCTCTCGATTCGGAGAAGACCTCGACGCGTGCTGGCCTCGATGCGTTTGGGACGCCTCGACGCGTGCTGGCCTCGATGCGTTTGGGACGTCTCTCTCGCTGCCCCAGAAAACAGAGCAGGGCCACTCGGAGGCGCGCTTGGCGGGGAAGTGAGAAGGAGCAGGCCTTCTCAAAATCACCGAGCGCGTTCCACTACTCGCAAAGTGCCGAGCCGCAAACGTCTGAAAAATACGCGTCTGCTTTGATGTAATGTATCGTAGATCCTCCGCGGAGGATCCAGGCCATCTGCGAGTCGTCACTTGGCGAGTAGTGGAACGCGCTCGTCTACAGAAAGCGGTGGGGGTTCTCAGAAGCGTTCCAGCCTTCTGAGAAGTCTCCTGCGTCCTCGGAAAAGATTCCGAAGACTTCTCAGAAGGCTCGACGCCTTCCGAGCCTGCCGAGAAGGCCCGCCCCTTCTCGCTTCCCCCCCAGGCCCGCCGCCGAGCCAAAGAGAACGGAGCACGACGCACTGGTCGTGGCTCGGCGCGGTGGCAGAGCCCGCCGAGGCGAGCCGACTGGCCCACGATCTCCGAGGGATGGGCCATCGACGGGCCGCGGGGCCCCGGGGCTCCATGCCCAGGGACTCCCTGTCCGAGGCGCCCGCCGCTGCTGCGGATCCTGTGGGGCGCCGCGTTCACCGTGCGCACCCCCCGACAGGGAGGAGGAGGAGGAGGAGGAGGAGGAGGAGGAGGAGGAGGAGGAGGAGGAG